ATTCAGTGTAACCCTTTATTCTTCTAGTAAACCAGTTTAGTGCAGTGGTTAAATGCGCCAACTCTAATCTGGGAGAACCGGGTTTGATTCCTCACTCCTCCACATACACCTGCTGGATGACCTTGGGCAAGCCATAGTCCTGCCAGAGCTGTTCTCTCAAGGACAGTTTCTGTCAAGAGCTCTCTCAGCCCCACCTACCTCACAGGGTGTCTGTTTTTGGGAGGGGAAGGGAAAGGAGTTTGTAAGCCGCTCTGAGACACCTTTGGGTAGTGAAGGGCGGGGTATAAATCCAATCTCTTCTTCTTCTTCTAAACTTTTCTAAAACAAAATACACACATGTGCTGTGTTGCTTTTATTCCATTATGCATATTAGCTCTGCTAAATATCCAGCAGAACTGATTTCTCTTATCTGATGATCAGTTGGAATCCCAGGAGATCTCCAGACCCCACCTGGAGGCTGGCAACCCAGCAATAGCAGCTGTATTGGACAATTTGCAGATGGGGAAGCTGCTTAAGCTAGTGTGCATTTGGGAGGCACAAAACTCACATTGTAATGTGTAGATGGAGACTGATGCTCTTACCTGAAGTTATTACAAGTGTTGATGGGTGCATGTGGGATGCTACCACAGCACTATGTAGGCATTCAGCTGCCAAATAGACAGCAGTGTTTAGTGCAGGCATAGGATATGACATCAGTGGGCTGTGCTGGGTGCTTCTGTTCTCTGCAGCCCAGGTTGACATAAGAAGAGCACTGCTGGATTAGACTAGCAGTCCATCTGGTGCAGCATCACACAGTGGCCAAGTGGCCAACCAGTTCCTCCAGAGAGCCAACAACAGGGCATAGAGGCTGAGGCCTTCTCTTGATGTTGCCTCCTGGCTCTGGGATTCAGAGGCTGATTGCCTCTGAACGTGGAGGTTCTCTTAGGCTGCAATCACATGGACCAGAAGACCAGACATAGGCGCAAATGCCTGATGGATCAAAGGGGCACGATCAGACAGCAACATCTGGGAGCATCCCGTAGCCATCGGCAACCCACGCTGCTTCACCGCAGAAGCGGAGTAAAAAGATACCAGGGAGAATCCAGTAGTAAACTTTTACATATCTCATGAGGTCTTGGGCTGAGAGCTGGACAGCTTTACAAAGCTCCCTCAACAACCAGATGATGGGACCACAGAACAGCTTATGGTCCCTTTAACTCATAGTGGGCACCAGAAGGAAAAAAAAAATGCTTCCTGGCCTTTGTAGAGAGCACGTGATCCAATTACCCTGGTGTAGTAGTTAAGAGCACAAACTCTAATCTGGGAGAACTGGGTTTGATTACCCACTCCTCCACATGCAGCTGCTGGTGTGACCTCACAAGTTCTCAGAGCTGTTCTCTCAAGAGCAGTTGTCTCAGAGCTGTCTCAACCCCACCTACCTCATGGGGTGTCTGTTGTGGGGAGGGGAAAGGAAAGGAGATTTTCAGCTGCTCTGAGACTCCTTTGGGCAGTGAAGGGCGGGGTATAAATCCAACTCTTCTTTTTCTTCTAATCAGAAGCAGCAAGGTGGTGCTGAGACTGCAAGACGAAAGGTTCCAGACAGGATGGAGTCAGCTGGGGCTATCCAGGTCAGAGCTAGGCTGAGAGTAATGTGACTGGCCAAAGGTCACCCAGCAAGCTTCCATGGCATGAGTGGGGATTCAAACCTTGATTTCCCAGACCCTAGACCAGCTCTTTAACCACTACACCACACTGGCTCTCTTGGTGGAATAGCATGTTGGAATTTGAATCTTTTTATATTGACATGATTATATATTCAAAGTTAAAAAATGAAATTTCCTGGCCATTGAAACAAAGTTTGGGTCCAGTGGCACCTTTAAGGCCAAACTTTGTTCTGCTGCTTCAGACCAACACGACTACCCACCTGAATCTCTTTTCTGGCCATTATTCTTATTTGTTTTATTTCGTGATTATTACTGAACATAACTTTGAAGAGCCCTGACCTGGATAGCCCCAGAATAGCCTGATCTCGTTAGATCTCAGAAGCTAAGCAGGGATGACAGGGCTTTTTTTGTAGAAAAAGCCCAGCAGGAACTCATTAGCATAATAGGCCACACCCATCAGCAAAAATTCATTTGCTTATTAGGACACAGCCCTGACAGCACAGCTCATTCGCACATTAGGCCACACACCCCATGTTCGCAGAAGTGTGATCATCCAGACACACTCACCTTTTGCTTCTTATTCTGTTTACCTTGTTTGTTGCCAAAACCCAGGGCTTTTTTATAGCAGGAACTCCTTTGCATGTTAGGCCACACACCCCTAATGTAGCCAGTCTTAATGAGTTTCTGCTGTTGGGTGTGGCCTATTATGCTAATGAGTTCCTGCTGGGTGTGGCCAACTCAGGAGCCAGCCGGAACTCCGTTCCTGTGCGTTCCTGCCCAAAAATAGCCCTGAGGGATGATGCTTGCTGAGGCAGGCAATGGCAAACCACCTCCAAACGTCTCTCGACTTGAAAACCACATGGGGTCACCCTAAGCCAGCTGTGACTTGATGGCCATAAAAAGAGGAGGGTATGTTAAAAACTTATCTGCTGTGGGGACCAAATAGGCTAAGTACGCCACTGGCTGCAACATAATAAGGATATAAATTAGATAAAACTAGCCTTATTTATTTATTTATTTGATTTATACCCCACCCTCCCTGCCGAAGCAGGCTCAGGGCAGCTTGCAAGGCCATTGGCAACATAAAAACATAAAAACAGTTAATATCATAAAAACATACTTCCGAAGGTGCTACATATATGTGATGACAAAGATTGTTCTAATCAGCCGCAATAAAATCAGCAATAGTTGGACGGCTGGTGTCTGCCTCCTAGGCACATTGTTCTTCAGTATGAGCATGGATATTAAAGCAGGCAACAAAAATGGATTATAGGGCCTAGCTAATCTGGCTGATGTTAGCAGTTTAATGTGGTGTCTTACTCAAATGCTTGGCAGAAGAACTTCGTCTTGCAAGCCCTGCGGAATTTTGGTAAATCTACTTTCTACTTAACTCTGTGCTTTTTTGAAGGCTACACAAAACAATATTTTCATTATCTGATTGCTTCTTTAGGATATAAATAGGAAGCATCTGAAAAAGTTAAAAATATCTGGGACTCCACTGCATTTTATAGCTTATGCTTTTCTGCATTAAGATCAATTCATCTTATTCCAGGGTGTGTCTGTGTGTCTTTTTTGAAGTTTTTGAAATACTATTCTCTTTACAGACCACATTCAGGTACCATGGGATATATATATACTTCTAGATATTTTAAAAGCCCTTTTATCCTTCAGGACTGTAACTGTTATTGCAGTTGTGCCAGTGAGCCAGAAGGTGTCATCGTTTGCATTGCTACTATTTTAATTCTTCCTAAGGCAACTCAAGGAGAAGTTAGAATGCACGTAGCTAGTGTGGAGACTGTTAACTCCCCTGGTTTGTGTGACGATACAGTGTTAGAATATTTACTAATGCCCTGCATTTTTCATTCTTGTCTCTATCTACCCTCATGTGTGCCATATGCGGCCATGTGTATATAAACAAACCAAAGATTCCTTGAAACTAGAGCATGGATTATTGCCATTAAATTTTGGTTACACCTACTTTTTAAAAGAGACAACAATGGTCTTACTGCTCATATGTTAACAGAGTCCTACGTGCCTTTGTTATATAGAAGAACAAATCAATTCAGTTGGGCTTAACATTGGAGACCTATCTCTGTACACAGAAAAGTCAGCTTTTAGGCTGATTAGGCAAAGACTGGTTAACATTGAGAGGCAGGCCATGAAAAAAATAGATGCTCACCCCTCAATTTGGGGCATTTACCTTCTGGACATAGGGCTTAGTATATAACTTGTTTAACGATCCCAGGGCAATGCTGAGCATATATGTTAGCAAGGTTTAATGTGCTGCCATCAGCAGTATTATATGGGAGATTCCAAAAAGCCTCATTCGATAGTAGATTGTGTTCCTGCCCTAAGCAGGAGATAGAAACTCCTGAACATGTGTTTCTTTCATGTACTTTCTACTCGGACCTGCGCCTTAAATTCATTGAGCCATGGTTGAGAAAGTATTCAGGGAAACCTAATAAATTTAAGATTTACCTTTTGCTGACAACCCAGAATCATGTAATAATTGAAACTGTTGCAAAATTTCTGTATGAAGCTTCAAGAAGGCGTTCAGTATTCCTTGCAAATTGAGTCGTATGTTCTGTATGTTATGCCAATAAAGGTTGATTGATTGATTGAAATGTAGATCTGAAGAATTACCCCGCCCCTGTTTTTTTAAGGAAATGTCTTGCGTAAAAATGATTGAGAGTGCCAGCTTAAAACCACGTTACAACCTGGGCTTAGAGGGGTGTAACTCTGCTTAGGATGACACTGTTATGATGCTAAGAGTGCACAGTCATATGCACATTTTCTTAGAAGTAATCCACACTGAACATAACGGGCTTCAGTTTCTGGAAGGCATACACAATATTTCACTGCAAGAGCTGATTTTTTGTTGTGGAAGTGTAAACAAGTCTAGAAGCAAACTACACGGGAAAACCAAAATAAAATAAAAAGAGCAATACTGTACAACATTTCAAAAAAATCCAGGGATGCCCAGAGCATGATGCCCTGGTAGGAGCTCAGATGCTTGCTTTTGCTTTTTCAGGAATGAAGGGTAAGGCCTTCCATGCACAGAAATACTCTGGGGAAGGGACAGGAATCCTTCTCCTTCCCTTAGTGATGATTGAATCCAACAACAAGCAGAACACAAGGGGATGGAGTATTGTTCTTGGTCAATTCACTGTCTAGCCAGGGAAATGACGAGGAGGAAATTGTTCCCCTGACTCAGGAACCATGTGGCAAGCCAAGATAAAGCAAAGAGTTGCTAATTTGAGTATAAAAGCAGGAAACGTGACACACTGATTTCCTTTCATGCTAACAAAACAATGTGAGGGAATGTGTAAGGGCATTTTTTTTCCAAGTCAAATCTCTAACCAAGCCAGAAACCAAGTGCTCTGCTGTGGATTCCCAGTTTTAATACTTTTATTATTTCGAATGTTATGTCTGCCAACAGCACCAGCTCTGAGAGCCCATGGCCACCCAATTTCTGGAGTAAGTACTTTTAGCATGTTCTTTTCAAAAATATGAAAAAGAGATTTAAAAATCTCTCTCTCTCTCTCTCTCTCTCTCCCTCTCTCTCTCTCTCTCTCTCTCTCTCTCTTACAGTTGGGCTACCAGTTAACAAAATCTCTTTCCACAGTTATGAACTTTTCATAGTCATACTTCTTATAGTAGGCATATTTTTAAGTTGACAAACCGAATATGTTAGTATTGCTCTTCCATTATCACAGCTAAATTTCATTCTATATACTCAAAATTTGAATAGTAATTAGTCTGCAGTGGGAAGGGGGGATCACTAGTAATTTGCCAAGTTAGTCCAGATTAACTCAAGTTGCCCAGTTGGTTTTTGTAGCTGAGGTAGATTTAAAGCTAGATCTCTGTAGTCTAAGGCTAGCAATGTAAATGCTTACGGCTACATTGCGGTGGCTCTCAGGCTGGGTTTTCCCTTTCTTTTCAAATGCCAAGCGTATCTACCTCACTGTTAAGTGATATGATTGTTCCAGCTGGTTCACAGCAGGAGTCAGGAAGGGTTGCCAGATCCTGGTTGGGAAATACCTGGAGATTTTTGGGGCGGAGCCTGAGGAGGGTGGGGATTGGGGAGGGAGAGAGTTCAATGTGGTATAATGCCGTAGAATCCACCTTCCAAAGTGGCCATTTTCAACAAGTGAACTGATCTCTGTCGCCTGGAGATCAGTTGTAATCTCAGGAGATCTCCAGCTACCACCTGGAGGTTAGCAACCCTTGCCAGAATTAAGGGCTGGGTCAGCAACATATCGTTTGGGGAGGGGAAGCCATAGTTGCCCTTCCCCCCCCCTAAATGTCAGAACATCCATAGCCATTGTTTGCTTGATGGGGTACCAGCTGTTCCCTCCCTTCCTTTCTTCAGTCAGCTATGTAAATAGAGGCAGCACCTATTTTGAATTTGGGCCACCACTTTGTGGATTTCTGGCATACCCCCTTTAGTGGAACAGTCACACCCAAAGCCTACGGATTATCCATCGGTCCTAGACTGAACTACAACCAAGGGAGATGAAATGAAATTGCTTTCTTTTATGAACAAGTTATGGTCATTATGGCACTATTTGAGAATTGGTACCGTAAAACATTGGGGGCCACGGTGGCTCAGAGGTTAAGACGCTGAGCTGCAGACTGGAAGGTCAGTAGCTTTGCCGTTCGAGACCCGACTGCCGCGTGACAGACTGAGCCCCAGCTCCTGCCAACTTCGCAGTTTGAAAGCAAGAAGTTGCAAGTAGATAAATAGGTATCACTTCGTTCCATGTGCCTGGGAGTTTAGTCATGGCAGCCACATGACCTCAGACAGCGCTGGCTCTTCGGACAGTCTTCAGACAGCACTGGATCTTTGGCTTGGAAACAGAGATGACAACCGCCCCCTAGAGTCAGATTTGACTGGCTTTCGAGCAAGGGAAACCTTTACTTTTACCATAAAACATGGGAGCTTATTTGGGAATCAAAAGTGGCAACAGAGGTCATGATGCCTATTAGGGCCATGAGGTCATGTGATGGAAGATATTTATTTCTTGTTAACACGCCAGGCTTTTTCTGCTTGTTACTGCAGAAAATGAGGAGAAGAAGGTTCACCATCCCCCCCCCATTCCATTTCTACATCCTCAGCCTGCCACTATTCACTCCATTGTGAAAATTACATGCAGCCATGTAAGTAATGTGATTTTTGCAACAGACCCCACAGTGGGCTCCTCAGGGCATTTGAGGACAAGAAAACAGGAGGCAGAGGGGAGGTTGAAACTGCTTCTCCCCATGTGCCATGGTCATGAGCAGGAAAGGGATGAATCTGGGAGGCACAAAAGTCCCATTGAGTGTTCCTGAAACAATTTTTTTTGTGTTGCTTCCAATGAATATGTGAACATGAAGACTGGCCAGTAAGGTATCTATATGACAAATGCAGTAGTTCAGAATGAAAATGCCAATGATGGGTGATCTTTGGAATGTATAGAGCATCCCCCCAGGGGGGGATTCCCACAACAAATCTGGGTTACACAGGGAGCATACAAGTCCATTTTCAAAATATGTTTTACCATTATGCACCTTAGAAGTTGTATCCATCATGAAATCAAAAAGGTTTGTTCCAGGTATATGAAACTTGTTTCATAGTGTTTATTTTAATCTATGAGAACTAAAGTTATGGCAAGTTATTCAGGATCAGACTTCTATATACACAAGCAGCGGAATGCAATGAGGACCTGTCAATGGCAACGATAGAACTGGGCTGGTGGAGGAGCAAACATTACCATTAGCAGGTTGAGGCAGTCTCCCTCCCTTAATAGTCTGATCCAGCACATTTGCCCATACTTTTCTACAAACATAAACAGGCAACACACACAAAGCTCATCTCAGCTACCAAATCCAGTCCTGTTCACATGTGTGAATTTTTTATTTGACCAATGATTTTAATTTTTGTCACTATATTACAAATGTGACAATCAACCGGAAAATAAATTTGAAAAGAAACAACACGTTTGCTCAAAATTTCCCTGCTTAAGTCTGGGCCTTTGCCCTTCAATGCTGTCTTTACCCTTCAATACAACTAGAATACAAGAACATACATACAATCATCTAAGCTGGGTTAGTGTCTCTGGGAAGCCCTCAAGCAGAGATAAAGGCAGTAGGGTTGCCAGGTCTGGGTTGGAAAATACCTGGAGACTTTGGGGGTGGATCTAGGAGAGGTCAGGGTTTGGGGAGGGAAGGGGACTCTGCATGGTACAATGTCATAGGGACCTCCCCTTCAAAGTAGGGGAGCTGACCTCTGTCAGCTGGAGATCAGTTGTAAAAGTGGGAGATCTCCAGGCCCCACCTGGAGACTGGTAACCCTAGAAGGCAATAGTCTTCCCACACTGCTGTGCATTACCAACTGCTGTGCAAGGGCACACTACCACTTAACATGGAAATTTCATTTGACTGTAATGGTTCGCAGAGTCATTAATTGACCTATCCATGGATTTGCCAGAAGTAGAATAGCAGAGTTCCTACTCAGAATAAAGTGATGCCTACCGGGGAGAAGATAAGGTTGAAGTGGAAAGTTGCTGGCAGATTTTGCCTGTAGTGGAACCCAAAGTAAAATTGGAGGTACCACTTGGGCAGACATATGCAGATTTTTTAAGAGCTAAGAGAGTTTTGACAAGTTAAGCCGAGATTTCTCTTAGCTGTTCCACACTCTCCTATCTACAACTGATTGAAAACTCATTTCTGCACAATGGTATCACTACTCAGACCATTAGGCAAAGAAATACCCCCAAAACCCACCAAAACTCAATGCACCTGTTAAGTTTCTGCCTCTGACCCATCTGTTAAATGGAGTCTTTGCAAAAAAAAATATAATACAATCCCTTTTCAACTCTTCAGTGAGCTCTACTCCCCTTTTTCCAGAGAAGGTACACTACAACTAATCCAGCCATTTGAGAATAAGGCTCCTTTTCGGCAATTCCACACAGATCTTTGTGCAGCGAGGTTCCTGACCCTTTAGAAGCTGTCAGCTAGGAACTCCTCCCCCTTCCCCACTTGCTAGGGAAAACTCCACCTGCTTCATTGTTCTATATCTGGTAAAGAGACCTGACCTGGGTGGCCCAGGCTAGCCAGACCTTGTCGGATCTTGGAAGCCAAGCAGGGTTGGCCCCCATTAGTATTTGGTTGGGAGACCTCCAAGGAATACCAGGGTCATGATGCAGAAGCAGCCAATGGCAAACCACCTCTGAACCAGGGTTCCCTCTAAGCCGAGTTAGTGTGAGCTAGCTCACAGGTTTTTTTTAGCCTCTGGCTCACACACTACTGGCACACAGCTTTGTTCTTATACCATTTATGAAGGAGTACTGGACTGGCCAGGAGTGCCATTTATAAAGGAGTACTGGATATTTGTGCTAAAGCAGAAATCAGAATGGTTATGAATGTGCTGGAAATCTTGATTCACGTATGGCAGGAAATGGAAATTATGATGTAATTAACCCCCCCCCCCGCTCCTCTGCTTTTCTCCTCAGTCATATTTCCCCCATGCTCGCTCTGTCTTCACCAGTCACAAAGCCATGCCTAAGACAGGGTGATCTGCAAAGACTGTGTTGATCGAATTTCTAATGTATTTTGCAAATGTTATTGCATGATATTTTGTTAATTGCTGCTTCTGTTGAATTTCCTTCTTACAAAGGAACACCTGAAGCCACTTGGCTCTACATCAGGCATTGTGCTTGCCAATGGCTGTGTTAAGCGGTGGCTGCCCAACAACTGCAGGAAACTGGAACATCCACCTAATTAAATTATGAATCTGTGCAGGTCATAAATCAAAGTCTGTTGAAATATAGCACCATTTTCTTAGGAGAGATAATTTGCCATTGGTGATGTTATTGTACTTTCTTTCCTGGCTAATTGTCTTCTGGCACTATATGATTATTATGCTGTATTGCATGTTAACCTCCCATTGTTTATGAAAACTCAGCTACACGCACTACTTCTCTGTCATTCCTCACTACTAGAATGACTTCTCATAAAGCACTTCTTGACATATATGGATGCACCCAGTATCTAATTTGCTGTTTTTCTAATTGTTCTTTTGAAACTATTCAGAAGGTTTCAATAATACATTTTCTCTTGAGCATCATCAAAATTCTAGGGAAGTATCATTCCATCCAAGGCAATTTCAGTCAAAAGTACTTCAGTGACTAGTACATTGAAAGAGTATACCACCACTTGGAACTACAATGTGAAAATAGCCTGTTCGTTATTTTCCAATCCTGCTTTTCGTCCATCATGCAGCATACATAGGGTTGCCAGGAGCTCTTTTGCTCAGAGAATTGACCATACTCAGGAGGGTAGCTGTGTTGGTCTGCAGTAGAACTAGATTTTTCATCTGATGAAGGGATCTTTGACTCTTGAAAGCTCATACCCAAAAATCTTGTTGGTCTCTAAGGTGCTGTTGAACTTGAATCTGACTGTCTGACCAGACTTAGACCTGCTTAGCATTAGCAAGGTGCCATCAAGTGTCCTTAGACACAGTATCCTACCTGAAATATTTGCATATAAATAAGACTTTCAGGAAGTACCTCCACAAGGCCTCTCTTTTACATCCTTATTCAGCACAGGGACTGAAAGTCAAATGATACAGCTGAATATCCGCAGGTCTGAGTCTGGTCATTCCCTGGATTTGAGACCTCCTGCGAATCAAGCATACATCACCTAGTGTTCTATGATGAAAGAAAAGCAGGATATAAATGCAGTAAGACTGTCTATTGGTGCTAGGGTGCCTGCTTTTGTGTGTTGGATTGCTGGAATCAGCAGGTGAAGTTTCCATGGCTGACAAAAACACCTTTGGCTTCCCTTGAAATTCCAGTGGGCAGGGACACCCTAAAATTTGCTTCAAATGTCATTCAAGGGAAAAAAGGAAGTTTTTGATTTCCTCATCCTAAGTGTCTGCTCAGCGGAACAGTTTAACGTCCTACGGTATGTTAGTTCTGAATTTCTACAGTTGATTTGTGTGGGAAATGTCATTCACCAATGCCTAACAGTCATTTGTGTTCAAGATCAATGGGGAAAAAAAACATTTCCTATTGCAGCTGCAGTGAGGATCCTAGGGATTCATGATGCAGTCCACAATGAAAAGCGTTATGCATTTTAATACATGAATATTTACTACAAAATCTATTAAATATTGGCAACTTTGGCTCCATCCACACCTCATTGGATGTTGTGCTATCATTGCATTATAGCAACCATTTGGCTACTGGCTTGTCTTGTCCACACAGGAAAATCCAGTTGCAATTGACAGTGATAGAGTAATACTGTAATATCCAGTGATTTATGGATGAATTCACTGTAACTTCGTAGTCAGAGTGAAACAAATGCACCTTAATAAACAACTCTTCAATTATTTTTAAAAAAGATTTTCCAGTACATAAAAATAGAGAAAAACAAACTTCAAGCAGTGTATTGTGATAAACACTATTTTGAAAGCAATCTATATATGTAGATTTCAGCTTCAATACATAACCGTAAAATGAAAGCTCCTTGCAGAAAAAAATTGTAACCTTTGTGTTTCTGCAGAGATTCATTTGGAGTATAATAACTAATTGCACTGTTCTTTTTCATTTTTAGATCAAATAATAATAGCATTTACAGTTTCTGTGGCCATTGGACTCGTAATTGGAGGCACAATCTGGGCTTTGTTGACTTGCCTATCAAATCGCAGAGCTAGTGCACATATTTCCCAGTGGAGCACCTCATCCTCTAGCCTGCGTTCCAGAGCTTCCCATGGAAGTGCTGCTAGCAGGCCTGGATTTTATCGCAACAGCAGTTGTGAACGCCGCAGCAACCTCAGTTTGGCCAGCCTGACCTTCCAAAGGCAAGCTTCCTTAGACCAAGCCAACTCCTTTCCAAGAAAATCAAGTTTTCGGGCCTCCACATTTCATCCCTTTCTTCAGTCCCCTCCACTTCCTGTAGAAACTGACAGTCAGCTGATTACACTGGTACCCACCAGTACCACGACAACTCTTACTGGGAGCACCACCAACAGCCTAAGTCGTCCTGAATTCCACTGGTCCAATAATAGTCTTCGTGTCTGCCATTCAACACAAACGCCACCTCCTGCCTATGACACCATCATAAAGGCCTTTCCAGATTCTTGAGTTGGATTTTCAGTATTCTAAATATGTGAGAAAGAATCTCAGTTCTATGATTTTCTGTGGGCTCTGAAGATACTGGTGAAAGTTCTGATTGCAACAAGAACATACTGTATGAGACAGAAATGACATTGATTTGATAGAGGGATGCACTGATACTGTTCAACTTCAAAAAACATCCTTGCTTTTCTCGCAAAGGGAGCATGTTAGCTGCACTGCATCAATATGTATTTATATTTTATGTCTGCACTGTTATTATTACTTTTAGTTTAGATGATGCAAATGCCTTGCAGTTTTACGAACTCATATATTTGGAATGATAAACCAAAGAATGCTTAAGATTTATAGAATTCCTTCTATGAACTGTGAACACAATGTTGGCTGCGGTCACACGGGCAGGAAAATGCAGGGGGGGGAGTGTGGCTGTTTGCCCCGGGGCAAAATAACGCGTGGTTGCACGAGCAGACATCCCGTGGAGGTCCCGTGGTAGGGGGGAGGTGCCAATCACACCACAATCCTGTGGCGTGGCAAAAAAGCTGCGCACCACGGCAAACGGGTGGGGTTTTTTCTGTACACCAACGTGTGCGCATGCCCCGTTGGGTGCTTGTGTGCATCCCAAGGACACTTGAAAAAAAACACCTTTTTGCGAGGGGACATGGGTGGGCGCTGGATGCCATGGGATTCCACCGGAAACGTGATCACCCGTTCGCCCTTGCCCCGCGGTTTCCGGAAACTAGTACCTCCGAGGTACTAGTTTTTTACTGCGCATCTTCGGAGTGAAGCCTCGGGTGAGCCACGGGAGCTCTACGCTTCCCAGATGTGGCGGTGAGATCGCGCCCGGAAAATCCGCCTATCTTCCATCTCTCTAGCGTGCCTAATGCTCCGTGTGACCGCAGCCGTTATTATTCTTTTTGTAACAGTTTTTTTGTCCTGCTAGGAGTTTTTCTTTCCAAATGTTTTCTTCCTACCACTTGTTTGTCAGTTGGCAACTATCATGTATCTAGAAGATCTTTAGGAATTCTTCAGCAGATAACATGTAAAATAACTGCATATTGCTATCATCACTTGAAAATACTTTTTTTAGGAATCATTTTAAGAACCCAAAGCACATTTAGATAAAGAAGTGTTTTAAAAAGCCAAAACGAGATATGTTCCTGGGTACCAGTGCAGGCTCAAGCTTTTGGGAGGCCTCAAGGTATCCTCAGTGGGACCCCAAACCTAAAAGAAGCAAGGCATGCAGACTGTCTTTCTCATTCCCAGGTGGTTTGTGAAAGGTGAGAAAGGTGGGAAAGACAACATGGCAACGGGCCGGTTGCTGGTTATTAGGACCAGGAAATGCAAATTTCACCACACTTTGGAGCAAGCCCAGGCATGGCATGTGTATGAGTAGATCCACTAATGACACTAAGTCATTGCCAGATTTTTACTTAAGACTTTAAAAAAATCTATATTTAGGAATGACAGGACTTTTAAATTAAAGCAAAAACAACCCAAATTAGACCATACAGGTTTTTCTTTGAACAACAGCAGCAGCAACAGCAGCCACAAAAACAACAGCAATGTAGTAGACATGTTACTTCCCTTTAAGGATTTCAGATTATTCACCAGGAATGTAACATGAACCACAACACTTTCTATACCTACATTTTTTTAAAAAAACAACCTAAAGTTTAGGCTAGAGATAACTCCAAGGTGCTAGGCTACTACTTAAGAGTCAGTTCATGAATATTTTGCCTGCTTATTAAAATTAATCATACAAAACATTTAAAATACAAACATCTAACAAGGTCACAATTAAGAAAATAAAAATCCTAACAGGCATGAAAGAGACTTATATTATTATTACAACATTTAATGAGAAGAAATGAACTTATCTGAACAATGTAAAGAGTGCAAAAGGCTTAATGATACTGTGACATTTCTCATTCCAACATAAAATGAACATATCCTATTTCCAAACAAATGTATTTCACATAGCTCATCCTACTCAGGCTCCTATAGAATATGAAATATTCTGTGTTATAGTGATGTCCTACGTTCTATAAAACTATCAAAAAAAGAGGAGGTGAGAAAAATTACACAGGAGTCTGGTAGCACCTTAAAGACTCATTGAAAACATGCTGAAATACATTTTGCTGCTCTGTAATGTCTCAGGCATAGAAAGGGCTTTTCCTGAGATCCTTTGCCTGGAGACATCCAGGAGTAAGGATGGACATGAACCGGGAAAATGCGGTTCAATTCAGTTTGTGGTTTGTGGCTGAACTATGAACCAAAATCTGAACTGAGAGCCTTGTTTACGAACCAAGCCGGTTTGTGTGGCTTGTGGCCCTGCAAACCCAGTTGAAAGGGACCACAGTCCCATTTAACACGGTTTGCAGAAAACCTGAAAAACAGCTGAGCAGCAGGGAGCAGCTTCCTCGCTGCTGATCAGCAGCTGCATGCTGTCTTAAGCAGTCCCTTTAAAATTTAATTTTAAATAAATTTAAAATTTAAAGGGACTGCAAAACAGCACCAAAAAGCTGTGCCACGGGGAGGTGTTCCCCGCTTTGCAGCTGTTTTTGGCTGTCTTCTGCAGTCCCTTTCGGATTTAAAAGGACTGCAGAAGAAAAAAAAACAGTGGCCAGCAGAAAGGGGCAGATCCCTTGGAAGGGTCTTCCTTTCCACCTTTCTCCTGGCTGGGGCAAGCCGGGGCCAGGAGAAAGGTAGGGAATCTCCCAGGAAGAGACTTCCTGTCCACGTTTTTGCTGGCCTTGGCAAGCCACAGTCAGCAGAATGGTGTGGGTGAAGTGTCCTTGGGAAGGCATTTCACCCCTTCCATTTAAACCCTCCTTTCTGCTCCCCACAGCTTTTCCTGGAGAGCAGAAAGCAGAGCTATTTAAACCCCTCTTTTCTGCTCAAAGCAGATAGCCACAGGGAGCAGAAATCAGTGGTGGTTTAAATTGCTCTGAGCCATTTAAACCAAACAGTTGAGTGGCAAGGAGCTCCCAGCTGCTCAGTTTTGTCTTGTGAAGAGAAGAAAGCAGGGTAAACCCCTACTTTCTCCTCTTCATGAATCATCATGAACCACCATAAATTGCTCCAAAATTCATGGTAGTTCACCCCAGTACTTCAGTTCATGAACTCCAGTTTGTGAACAGGCCAAAATTCATGACAAACTTTGGTTCGTCAGCTGGGTTGTGCCCATCCCTATCCAGGAGTAAACCTGTGTCCATCTATATTTACTTCATGGTGAAACCTCAGCCCTAACCTACCACTCATTTCCCAGCTTATCCTCATTTGTGCTGACCAATTTAAAAATTGCATTTCCAAATTATTAAGTGCTCCTGAGAGTGTGGAGCAATCATATTGAACATGGGTTGATATTCATTCTTGTTTTTATAAAGAGGTTCTCTGGTGCCGGAACCTTTTGCATTGTCTCTCTTTAATTCATTTTTAAGTTATTTGTTGTTTAAAACTGCTGGTACTTGGGTGGGGAGAAGGGCTGAGCTTTGTGCAGGAAAGGGAACATGACCACACAGGAAGAAAAACCAGACACAGAATTGTCAAGATGTCCAGCCATCACTTTCCTGACCTCTCTTCTCACCTCAGTTAAGGGTGAACACCTCCACCCACCCCAGAGGTCATTTCGAGGGGGATTGCGGGGGATCGCAGTTCCCCCGGGTGAGGTACGGGGGGCAGGGCACATGACGAAGCCCCGTCCCCTGTTTCTGGCCGCCCAGCTTCCGGCCCTCATTCAGCCAGGAGGAGGCAGGAGAAGAGGGAGGGTAAGTTGCTTCCTCCCTGCCTCTCCCCACCCCTGCCTGCCTGGGGCCAGGGAGGGCCTTTGTGGGGCTTCCTTGTACTCCCGCTGGCCTTGCAGGTCCACCGCCGGGCCCCTCATGGGGCTTGACAGTGGAGCTGCAAGGCTGGTGGTGGCAGCCGGGACCGTTGGGGGCGGGGTGTGTGGCCTTATGACACACCTCTGGTGATGTCAGGGGGTGTGGCCTTATGACACACTTCCGGTGATGTCAGGGGGTGTGGCATATGCTAATGAGCTATGCTAATGAGTTCCCCTAGCTCTTTTTCTACGAAACGACCCCTGACCCACCCTATGAAGTAAGCATGCCTACACATCATTACTGTCCCATGCAGCAATGTACATTATGGTACACTGGCTCTGAATTGCTCTTGAGACTGTATCTTCTGGACCAGAATAGGAAGGCATATAATTGAAACATCACCCAGATTATTTACACCTGATTATGACACAAGGCGATATCATATGAGGCCTCCATAACTCTTCTATACCTTACATCATTGATTATGACTATAAAACTCCTTTTTGATCCAACATTGATTAACTATTTGTATAATTATTGCAATATTGGGCCTAAGTGTACTATCTATGCTTGGCCACTGAAGAAGGCCAGTTAGGCCAAAATGTGGTGGGTCACATTAGGTCTCATTTGTGTACAAAATGAAAGCACTTCGGAGCACTGATACTCTGATCAATGGGAATCTTACTCATCCCTCCTTGCCTCCATAAATCAGCCGTGAGAGCACTTTCCACAACTAGGATGAAAGAGTAGGAGAGGCAAGCTGAAGGCCAGAGCAGATTTCAAAGTTTGGTGGTAATGGTGTCTCCCAAACTGTGTCCAGGAGGTATATGAATCTTCATTCCCCAGTCCTAGAACAATAGCTTAGTTCTTCCTTTGCAGCTGTAAGAGATTAGAACTAACCTCCCTTCAAAACAGGGTTTCCAGGCTGCAGCTGCCAAGCCCTGGGAGAAAGGGGCCTGGGGCACCACTGGCATACCGGCTTGCTGACATTACTTCTGGTAAAAACTAGAAGTGAAGTTATTAGTTGCTATAGAAATTTACAAAAACTCTGTGGTTTTAAAATGCTCATTTTCTTGTAGCTATGCTCTGTTTGGCCTTTTCTTTGAAGCCCCAGACCACTGAGTCTTCTTCTGTTGGTGGCAGCCACTGACAAGGTCTGGATTCATCCCAGTAGACCCGGTCCCTTAACAACATTGGCTGCAAGCCCCAGAACTCTCAGTGCCCAGACGACTCCTCTGGGGGAATTGCTTGGAGCTTGTTTGCTGACATCTTTTCTCTACCATGGACTGGACTCAGGCTGGCCTACCTATGCCATGGGGTAATGGGGTAAAGGCATTCTGGCATCTCCACTATATCTTAGTCTAGGGAGATCTAATTAGGGCTTGTTAGAATTCCCTACCACAAATCTCAGCTCACGGTGATAACTAGGCTTGCCAAACTCCAGGTGGCACCTGGAGATCTCCCACTATTACAATGAATCTCCAGGCAACCAATTCCCATGTTATTACTGTTTTCATCCTTCTTATATCAGAATTGCACTGTTTTACTGGCTCTTGCTGCAATAAATTAGATCGGATCGGCAACCAAG